CTTTCTCATTTCAATATAGATACCTACCGCAAAAGTAGCAAACGATGATGGTAAAGACACATTTCACAACATACATGGCAGACCAGTTAAACAATGTGGACAACAAGAAACAAATCAAGGTATTCAAGTTCATATACTATTACTACTATTATGACATTCTTAACGGCCCGTCAACATATAAAGGGTCATTAGGACCATCAATCGGTGAAATCACACAGTGCTCCAAAAGGAAATAACATTAAACAAAACAAAAGGTAAAAGACAAATGGTAAAAATCTTTAATGGGTATATCAACACAAAATATTAAAATGGTACGTCACAGTCTATTATACAGATCAACATCTTTCAGGTAACCTAGGACTTTACAAATCTCAACAGTTTCATAAAGGGTTTTTAGACAGGTAATGTTACGATAAAACATTCTCGAGTAGACAGGAGGTCCGTACAGTCAAATAAAAATGTTTAACGGTGAATGGCTCATCACATCCTATGCACTGAGGATTATCTTCGCCTTATATCCACATATATGAATGTGTTAGTGATGTATGACCCATCCGAAGACGGGCAAGGACAACTTCGTCTCGGTGGTTGTCTCTATATCATGGAGACCATTCACCGATAATAGGTTTTACGGAGTACAATTTATTATTGGTATATGTATTCCATTCCTCCTGTATTTGAGCTGTTAAAATTTGTTTAATAAATGGTTTAAAATCGGTAAAATGAAGTTTAAAAACAACAGGTTGTAGCGATAAAGCTTTCTTTGCGGCACGATCTGCTTTTTCATTGCCTGGTATTCCCATGTGCCCAGGAACCCAGCAAAAAGCAATACGAAAGTTAAAGGTAAGTTCATGATATAACGAATGAAAATATTTTCAATATTTCTATTTATAAGACTTTGTAGAACAGAAAGAGAGCCTGAATGGATAACTTGTTTTTCATTTCAGAATATTTTATTGATAAAAAACAATAGGATTAGACAGCAGACTAGAAACAAGACAACATGGTGGTCAGACATAAACATACATACATACAAACCATCATAAATGTAGTGTTGACAGACTAATCAATTTTAGATTATGGGAGACAACTCTGTTGTTTTTTATACTTCAATCTTATGATTATAAGAAGATAATTTACAATCCAAACTGCTTTCAGTTTATTATGTCTTATGATATTAAATGTACATTACATGTACTTTCTCTTCCATATAAAAGGGGCTTGGGCCAGAATGTCCATGATATAAAAGTTAGCCCTCTCCCACTTCAGTGAGGGAGCAAGTACACATAAAGCACATTTTTCTTATATCAAATGGTTATTATAATAAAAAGGATATTCAGACCAAGATAAAGAACTGATCAGAGTTGTTTCCTTATAATAAGATGATAACTTTAATATTGAAATAAATAAGGAAGAACAAATAATAATGGGAAAAAGGGGGGGAAGTAAATAATTATCAACCAACATTCATCTCATTATTGATAAAAGTTGAATTAAGTATATCTATGGAAGGATATAATTTTTTTCCCAATAATATTTTGTCTTAGTCTTAGATTTGTTCTATCATTTCAATTCATGTCACCAGATATTCAGTTAGACATTAAAGCTTTTCTTGGTCATCAATATACTTGATTACATCATCAAATAATGATTTATTGATGTGAGTGGTACAGATTTGTCAGCTATGCAAAACATAGTTCAGTTCATAGTGGTTATGATTTTGGTTGTTTAGGGTTTGTAATAAACTTTGTCTAGGGTTCATATATCTAGGGCAGTCAAAAAAGAAATGTTGAGCTGTTTCAGTTGGGGTATCACAAAATTGGTCATCATAAAAATGGTTTTTATGCAGATCGTGATTAAGAGAGCTGGCATAATTCCTTAGCTGACAGAGAATGTTATTTAATTTTCTTTGTTCTCCTTCTCTAAAGATAATGTCATTCTAACAAGCTGGAGGATTTGCCCTTAACAGAGCTTTTTCAAAGTGCCTCACAGAGTGAATATTAGTTATGAGATTACTTATTTTATTAAATACAGATATCATGTTTGGAAAGAAACTATCCATATAGCTTACTGTTCGACAAATAGGTTCATTGGACTCAGCTACTTCAACTGGATTATCATTGACAACTTTAAACAAAGAGGTATCATCAGCAAGCAATTTAATAGAGTTATCAACACAGTCAGTTATATCATTTGTGTACAGTAAAAAGAGAAAAGGTCCTAGAACTGAGCCCTGGGGGCTCCTTCATTATCAGATTTAAAGGTTGAAGCAAAGTCTTCAATCATTACACATTGTTTTCTATTAGATAAATAATTTTGTAGACACCTTAAAACATTAAATTTAACTCCTCAATATTCAAGCTTGTATAATAAACCCTTATGCCAGATTCTATCAAATGCCTTGCTTATATCACAAAATAAAAATCTCATTTCTTCATTATCATCTAAACTACTAAGTATATTGTGATAATTGGAAAGCAGTTGGTTAATAGTTGAATCCTTAGGCATAAATCCTGACTGATGTTTTGATATAATTTCAAATAAAGAAAGATGGTTGAATAAATATTTAAATATAATCTTTTCTAGCATTTTACTAATACATACTTTTCGTAAGGTTTTCATAATAACTATTTTTTGCATTTCTTATTAGATCAGTTACATGGATTCTTTTCTGTCTGTAATTTTTCCAATGATGTGGTGATGAATTTGCTTTAGCCTTTTTGTGAATTCGACTTCGTAGCCTAATATTTAATTTGATTATATGATTTATCCATGGTTTGTCATTAGGTCGAATAGTACTTTTTTGGAGGGGATAAACTGCTGAATAAGATCATTTATAGACTTAGTAAGAAATTGATTAATCTCTTCAGCAGTCATAGTATTATACATTTCATCACAGTCTAATATTACCAATTCATTGTTCACGCTATCAAAATCAGCTCTATCAAAGATATATTTTCCAATACTGTAAGCGTTGCGTTTAAATATTAAATACTGAATTTCAAATGATATCGGTGAATGATCACTAAATAGGCGGATTTACTGGAACATTTCAAACTATATTAACATTATTTGTGAGGAGAATATCTAATAAGGTGAAAGAAGTATGGGTTACATGTGTAGCTTCAGTAATTAGATTTATTAGATTATATTAACATTTATGTCGCCAGTGATTATAACATCCATATTAGTCTCAATGACAGCTTCTAGCATGTTATCAAGTTTAGACCAATAGGTAACTGACGGCTTTGGTTATATAAACAACCTAATAAAAAACTTTCGATGATCAATTTTAATTTCAATCCAAATCATTTCAATGTCTTCATATTCAATATCAGTACGTCTTTTAGAAAAACTGAATTTTTACAGTAAATAATAACAACTCCTCCAGGACCAGTCCTACGATCAAAACTATGAAAATTTTCAGAGTACGAAGTTAGTGTCACATCAGCATCATATATATTAAGCGAAAGATGGGTTTCCGTTACACATAACACCTAACACTATCAGACAATGCAGTATCTAAATATTTGAGTTTGTTTCTTTAAGACCTTACATTAAAATATTTGATAAATTGAATTGCTGCATATACAGTTTTCATTCTGAGATGCTTATAGTAAACGTTACATTTTGGATGAAGTTTTTAGGTGTGAACAGTTATGTGACAGCACCAACGTGACATTTTAAGACATTAATAGTGAGTACACTTTGACTTGCACAAACTTGTAAAGAAGACAGCGTTAGAAAATATTGGCGTTAATATCGAGTCTTTTTTTTTCAAATTAGCTCACGTTTATGTAGTTACTTACATGTAAGTACTGAATGAAACACAATCAGATCTATATGTACCTCAGTAGCTCAAAACAATGTTAACTATTTACTGACTACAGTAATTGGAAATAATTGATTTTACATCCTATATATACATATATACACATTAATGATTATGTTATCATGATTTTTTTCTTTTTATTATTTTCATTTAATTTCTGTAAACACATCTAGAATACTTTTACTACTAGATAGTATCTTAAGTTTACATATCATAATACCTACTGAATTCAGAATAATAAATAAATAACATATAGTGTAGACAAACTTACACTAAAATAGGTTACACCATTCTTTTTCAAATACAGTAACAGTATGGTATAAATAATCTCTGTTTCTGTGGTACAAAGATTCCCAACTGATGTACCAATCATGCTTTGATATGTTATATAAAATACTGTTGAGTGACTTATTGAGACTTAACTGATTTACATAAATTACATTAGTAAATACTAAGGGATTACATTGAACTTTATATGTAGACATACACATTAACAGAGCAAATGTATTGATATTGTGCACATATACAAGTACCAAGCATAAGGCATGTGTTTAAAATAATAAAAAAAAATGACGCAAATTTGTACAATATATTCATGTACAGTGCACATGGGTGTCACACGTCATATCCTGATATGTTTTTTTGTTTATTAAAAAACAAGGCTTTTGTAAACACTGATGATCTAGCATTAGTGAGAGCTTCGTTGATGTATAGCTTGTTCGCTTGTGTGTTTGAACTTGTAGGCTCTGTCTTAAGTAAACTATCTGAAGGCGCTGAATCATCAATAGCATCATTACGAGTGGTGATGAAAATCTGGCCTGATAGACTGCCGCTCTGTTACAGTGAGATATAAACGTCACAATTATGTCACGAGGAAGTTTTTATTTCTGGGACCTATTCTCTGGCTACGACGCCCAGTATATCATTACAAATATGAATAGATTCTAACTGCTTAATTTGGTTATGCAGTTCAGTGATCCCGAGACTTGCTAAAAGTGTATCTTTAAAGAGCGCATTTCCCATTAGTTGGGATACAATTTTAGGACAACATCCGGGTTATTCAGTTCACCAAGAATGTTTACACTTTTCTTAATCTTGCCGGAAAGTTCAACAGAAACCATGCTGACAAATCGTTAATAGTGAAGTGGGATATATGAATGCGACTAAAATGACAATCACATTCCAAATTCGAGTCACTCGAGTCAACCTGGTTCTACCTGGACAAAGAATTACTGCCGTTTTGGCGGACTTCGGTAACTGTACACTTCAAATATTATTTAGTAGTTATAGCAGCAATCTGTACATCTTGATAAAGTTACTGGGTGGTATTTTGGAAGAGTTCAATACATACTTATAATGATCATCGCAGTATGAACCATTAGTCAGAAATGGATGAAATTCGGCGAAAACAATAGACTAGTCAAGCAGACATGTTTACATTCCATAGCTTTCGTCTTGTGAAACCATGGTTGCGGCAACCTTATGATTATCTTTTGAACCATTGGTATATAAATGTAAAAATGTTTTATATTTTACCTGCAATTTCGAGAAGGATGAACGAAAGGTGCAACTGTCAGTGTCTGATTTAACCATTGCATGAAGTGAAAAGTTAACTTCAAGTAAATTCAAGAACAAAGGTTTAATTTCGATCGTTCCAAATGACTGAATTTGGTCTATGTCAATATTTGTGTTTTGTAAGAGAGGAAATCCAAATACCGAATGATGGAATGGTCTTTGGTATGTTTTGAAACAAGGTTTTATATTTTGGATCAAATACAAGGAGGATTTGAAGGAATTGACTTTAGCTGAATGGTGTATCGCAAAGCCAAATTATTTCGACGGCTATAAATTGATGGTTCGTTAGCATCTACATAGTGGCTTGCTGTAGATGTGGTCGTAATCAATGTAGTCCAATACAAATGCTTAATGGTGAATGGCTCATCACATCCTATGCACCGAGGATTTCCTATGCCTGTCACCATATATGAATGTGTAAGGTATGTATGACCCTTCCGAAGACGGGCAAGGACAACTTCGTCTCGGTGGTTGTCTTTATAGCATGGAGACCATTTAGCGATGATGGGTTTTACAGAGTGAATACAGATGTTTTGCTCTTCTTTCGTTGAGCTAAGGACCTATATGGTTGGTGTCACTGATGAAATTTAATTTTTGAACATGATACCTTGGGAAGGCCGTCATGATACGACATGGATTCAAGGTATCCTGTGAGAGCATTTCAAGTGATAAAAATAAAACTATTTTAATTGTAGTCGAAAAGTATGTCTAAGGGAACCGATTTGATAACTGCATGATAATACTTACACTATTTTTTATTCAATACACATAAGGTCACTACACTATTTAAACATACAATCATTCTTTTATATGATATGATAACATAAATTATTATTGAACTCGTCAAGGTATGGGTTTTCCTGTCAAAAAGCACGACAACACACACTTGCTCTTCTACTTTTTTTTATACTATGTCAAAATATTTATCAGATTAAATCATGACAAACTAATTTATTTGTTGTTTATTTAAGCACAAAATAGGGTATATCTACTTATCTAAGTCATCAGCTGGTTCATCGTTACTTGCTGTTCGACCTATTGCTATATCTTTCAATCAGCTTTATTTTTATAGCGTTAGAATTGCACAAGGCATCACAAGTATAAAAAAGATTCCATACTAATAATCTTCTCCAACATGATATTAATTTCATGTCATATCGTGACGGTCTAACCATGTAGTATTCACATACAAAAATAAAACTTACAAGGTTATATTATTTGTGAATAAATTAAACTAGGACTGAAAATCCACCAAAAGTGTCTGCCACATGCAATCAGGAAGATTGTACAAAGGCGTACAAGTGAACAGCTCCTGAATTATGCTCTCCAATCCTCAACAAGTCCTTGCTAATGGAATGTGCTAATATACATATTGGATACGAGGCATTCTGGTATGATACTATGATAGCAATATGCAACGCACTGCTGATACATCACACATCCGTTTATTTCATTGATCTATCTAATGTAATAGCATGAATAAGATAAAAACCTGTGTTGCGAATTTCAATTCAATGTATACGCCAGACAACGAGTGGAAAATTTGACAGTCACAACCATAGGCAACACTGAACACCCTTATATTTCATACCAGGGACAATAGATTATTCAACGTTCTGAAAGTTTATGCATTTAATTTCAATAAACCTTCCTTTCAGGTAATACTGGTACCTCGATGAAGTTACCAATAATCCTGATGGTTGTGTTTGTTATTAGCATTGCAATTGGCGTATATTTTGTCGGTAAGTTAATAAAAACTCGCATGTCAATATATATCTATTTATCTAAGACCTTAGAAGTATGAGAATAAGTTGCCAATATTGCCAGACGATATATATAAAAGATAAGCAGCATGCTGTTTAAAACGTCATTTATTTCCTTGCAATGATGAATAATTTTACGAACAGCCTGGGTCATATCGAGACGAGTGTTAAAAGGGAATTCAATGTTGATTATAAATTTCTAAACTTTTTGTCTTTGAATATTTGTTTTAGTGAAGTATGCATATTACTTTGTTTCGTTTTACCATAGTGACAAAGGAAAGTGACATGAATGGAGATGGTAAGTTTTAAGACTGCATAAGATACTTTATATATACAAGAATCAATTTCGTTTAACACATTTACTCTGTACATTACCTTTCTTGTTCACCAAGTACAACTATGTACATTTATTTCTCGACTTAAAATATTTTCTAATATTAATAGATATTTTAAGTATCACAAGCAGATAGTTGCTTATTAAGACACGAATAACCATTGATTATACCAACTTTCACAGGTTTCCTTCGAATAGCACCACTCTTCAGAATATGAACATTACGAAATCAGTCATTTTTGTTTTTGTGAAAGGTATTGCTAGTGTACCTCACCATTTAGATTTTGAAACGTCTTACGGTCAATTTTCCGTAACGGCTCCTAGGTTGCAAAGCTATAGCCTTTTCTACACTAACAAATCACGGGAGGACGAAATAACAATTCATTTTATGACTCAAAGGTATCTATATTTAGGGAATATGTTTTTGAATGTGCTACCAATTTTAGTGTGGAAAAAGGGTGACATTGCCTTTACGAATAAGGGCCTATCGCGTGTAATCAATTTATATTAGATATTCTCTTATTTATATATGTACCTAATTTAACTCCACACAAAGTCAAAACGCCCATAAATTGTAAAATGTTCTGTCCGATGACCGGTGCTCTCCCAAAGCGTGTCATTTGTACTTCTGAGACGTCTTGATCTAGAGCATATTTGTGTTCACTGTGTCATTTTTCACTGGTGTTGACACGCCCTTTCTGTGTAGAAGTACTTTCACATTTTCATTTGCATCATGAGAGTCATCGATCTTGTGTGTAACACCGGTAGTTAAATCCCACCCGAAGTATTTCTGTGAGTTATAACTACTGCCGGTGACTATTCTTTCTTGTTGTTGGATTGCATGGAAACGATTTCGCCTTTCTGAAACTATGGTAGTTTGACTGTCTGCCGTGATAAAATTCCTGTTGTGATTGATGGGCTAGCAGCTGGAACTGCTTCTTCAGGTAACTGTGCCTTTCATAAGGATGAGGCAGCAGGTAGCTTCATTTGCTTTGTCGTGATTCTTACTACCGAACCGTTTGCTAATCTGGGCATTAAAGTCACCAACGATAATTATATGACCTTCTTCGGCGAATCGGTCATACAAATCCGATATGTATTCCAGTGTTTCCTTATAAACATGCAGTGGAACATTGGTGGATGGCATCAGAGTACCTATTAAAATAACATTTGTTCGGTCATGGAGTTGAACAGAGCAGCATATTACCCTGTCACTACCCTCACTGAGAATTCGGCAAACATTTATATCCTTTCTCCACATTATAGCCAATCCGCCAAAGCCTCGATTACATTACATTCAATAGGAATAGTACTATCACTTACACCAAAAGCGTTAAAAGCAGAGTCAACAGTATGTAGGAAGTTCATTTGTTCAGGGAGCAGCCAATGCTCAGTTACTACAGCAATATCAGTCTCTCGAAGAAGTTCTGATAACAATGGAGTTCCGTACATGACACCCCGAATGTTCCAACAGAGAACCGTGAATATGACGCAGAGAAAGCACGAGTACACGCGTGAGATGATAACTTTCAGTTCCACGATATCTGATTAGGACGCGATGTGTCATTGAATCGATTACGATATTCCCATTCCCGGACAAGAACGTTTCCAGCGGTAGTTAAATCTCACCCGAAGTATTTCTGTGGGTTATAAATACTGCCGGTGACTATTCTTTCTTGTTGGATTGCATGGAAACGATTTCGCTTTTCTGAAACTCTGGTAGTTTGACTGTCTGCCGTGATTAAATTCCTGTTGTGATTGATGGGCTAGCAGCTGGAACTGCTTCTTCAGGTAACTGTGCCTTTCATAAGGATGAGGCAGCAGGTAGCCTCGTCCTCAAACACTTATTCATTAAGAGCTGAGCAGGCGAATGGCCAAGACCATCAACTGGAGACACTCGTATTCCACAAGTGCAACGTATGCGCGCTGTCGCCATCATTTGCTTTATTTAATGGGCTTCATAGTACCCTTGTTGATTAAACTGGTAATGCTATATTTTTGTGTACACGGCTTAATTGAACATTTGGTTTTAGGATAAAATAGTGATATATATATCACCAGTAAATTTAATGTCTAAATTAGTTTCGGAAGCCTCTTCAAGGATCATATCTGTTTTTTATCCGCTACATATTTTTGTTTCAGTCGGTAGATGCATTCTAACAGAACAGTATGAGTCTTAATTTTCATTGTAATCGCAGCGAAATCAACTTTAAGATGTGTTAAGTCATAACATCTCTCTTAAACAACTGGTGTTTTTGAAAATGAGATCCAATCCTTCCTGGGCCAGATCTTCTTCCTCTACGATGTGGATGTGATGTATATATGTTGATGTAAGATTTTAACTTTGGTCTAGAATTGTCCATGTATACATTGCACGCATAAAGTCATGTGTATGTAATAGATATATAAAGCATTTTTTTTTCTTTATAACGTACAATGGAGTCAGCGTACCCGTCCGTCCGTCCGTCCTCACAGAAGTAAACCTGTGGGTTGCACTGTTAAAAATAAACATTGATAAAGTATTTTTGTATATGAAACTTAACTATTTAAACTTATTTTTATCCACATTTGCTTCTTTAGTCAAGTTGTTTTAGTTGCATAGTAATTGAATCTGAATATGGAGTTTCAAATTGTGGTGTAACCCACACGTGTAATAAACAAAAGGTAACACCTAGAAGTTCCGTCTGTTCGTTCGTCCGTCTGTCTGTAGACATTCTTACTACTGTCGCTTTTTTATAATTATTCATAGATTTCGATGAAATTTTCACCAAGGTTATACATAACATGTTCCTGTCCTTCTGTGCGCCATTAGATTTGGACTTTTTTTACTAAAGTTACAGCTCTTGACACAAGGTGTAAAAACGCAATTAAATTGCGTCATTTATTTTACCAGAGTTATGACCCTTGAAGTTGCCTAGTGAAAAATTCATTGTGCTGATGACTAATTGTCTCGGAAACTCGGTATTTTCTATATTGTAGGCATAGATGTAACTCACACTTCTCACACACTTTAGAGGTCAAAGGTAGCTAATTATTTCCGAAGTGGTAGGTATTTTGTTTACATTCGGGAATTAGTCATGGGTGCAAAGTACACAATGGTACACGGCCAGTTTTGCCTGTATTACAAAAATGAATTGACTAAATTGATTTTACAAAATAATTTGATTTTTGTCACCGACTTGTTTCATCGCCCCTTTCCTCTTAAAATGCGATGTTTGTGACCGCTGGTGTGAAACATGATACTTCTTTTTTACCTGGCGTTATTGTGTTGAGGTTTCTCGTTTCATATGGTTGTTAGGAAATAACGTGTTTGTAAGGGCAATGCTATATTTCAAATTGTCAGGGAATGGTAGAACCCCGTTTAAAGTGAAAAACCGATATGAAATTTGAGAAATATACACTCACTACTTATCAAGATGGTTGTCTTTTCTAGACAGTCTCATAATGCAAAATGCACAATTAGAAACAAACGGAAACCTTCCTGCGAGATTTTAAATGATCCAACCAACAAAAAAGTCTACAAGAAAATAAGGACGGTCAGACGACGGACGAAGAGCAATTTGAAAAGCTAATTCTTGCTTATGGTTTGCTAAATGTACACATCCTCTTTCTCGGATTGTGCATTCTCCAAATCTTCATAACTATGATCTTAGTTTAGTCTAAAGCATATTGTTGATCGTTTCCAGATATGAACCGCGCTACAAAGACAAATCGGTCATCTGCATTTGAATTCAGCGGAGAATCAGAAATATCCTCTGATATAGCAGCAGCTTTGATTAAAAGTCATAGCATGGAAAACAATGGATCTATGTACCGTAAGTAGCAAATTAACGATCTTTAAAACGGAAAAAAATTTAGGGGATCTATCAGTCAAAGGAACATGGCTCTACATTATTCGCTCTTAGCAATGAGACAAAACAATGGTCTTTACACCATTTCGATTGCAATGATTCCCTTGTAACATTGTGTTTAATACAGACAACCAAAAGATACAATACAAGCAGACGGGTAGGGTGTTTGTTCTTCCAATGTGTTTATTTTAATGGACATGTTATTAATTTAATTTTCTTGCAAAATAATGCCTGTTAAATATTTTCATATGATCTAGGGCGATATGAACTTGGACGATATGAAGTATGGCATTGAAAGTATATGTTCTTGCAACAAAGACCATATGTTTCTTCTTTTGATGCATTAAAGTCACAACAGACATTCTATTTTAATCGAGCAGAGATACAAAACTGATTTTACTTCACCCGTCAACATTTGGGCAAAACCTTCTGTCTCTGGCTTCAGGCGGCCTAGATTTATGCTTAGCTTACACTTAACTGATTTTCCTACACACTTGAATGACGGGACACGGAATTTGGCCAAAATCAATCATTCCGAGAGAAGAAGTCGGGTTTAAAAATATTTGCTCGATTTCCCATATTGTACCATTCCCCTTCCACCTCAGGACGCCGATATCCATCGTACATAAAAGATTCAGACAAAATTTGTGCAAAATCCAATCATCCCTATAGAGAGAGAAGGATTTTAAAGATTTAGAGAATCTGTTATTTTCTCCTATTTTGGCCCTGTCCTCCCTCCCCTTTAGGACCGAGACCCATCACTTATACAAAATTGAGTCTTCTTCAACCCAGCAAACTTGCGACTATATTTGGGCAAAAGTGCACAATCGTTCATGACTAAAAGCGAAAAGGAAAAGTTGATGGATGGTTAGACGGACTCTATGGTATGTTATAAGATTCAGGCTAAGTAAACAATAATAACTACATTGAAGATTCAATAACAGTTCAGAATATAGAAAGAAAATTATGTGCTTTCTTTCTCAGCTACTGATCCCATTTGCCGGGATTTGCCAAAGTCATCTGTATTCGTTTTTGATTGCTACCACCAGAGAACTTTTAATGACCTACCCGATAATAGCACTGTCAAATGCACGTAAGTAATATATGGATAACTGAATATGATATAAACGATTATTGTACAACTGTGTGGCACGCTACTTATACGGACATGTATTATTTATGTGAAGTCGTATCCTAAATATATACTCAACAAAAAAAGAAAGGTTATCATGTTTCCTTAGCGAATACCTGTAAATAAGTGAAAACAATATTAGAAAATGGTAATGTTTTATGTAATATTGTAATGTAATATTATTACAAAATCCAAGGGGGTTACCAAAATCATTCAAGCGTGAAAGTCTGTATTAGCGAAAGAGCTGCACGAGGTTTTCTGCGACTAACTTGTATCTTCGCTTGAATTTCAATAACATTCAAACTGACAACTGTTCCTTAGATCCTTAGGACTTAGAAATCACCGAATCTTGCTATCTATCAACTTTATCATTATGCCCCGGCGGTCACAAGTACAGAGAGAAAGGGCTGTAGGCATGATCCAGGCTGGGGAGTCTCGCCGTCGAGTTGCACGGCATTTTGGTTGCAGTGTTAAGACAATTTGCCACTTGGTAAGTCGTTTAAACCAAACTGGGTCAACATCCGATCGCCCCAAAGCGGCTGACCCCGTAAAACGACCACCAGGGATGACCGTCGTATACGATTGATACACTTGTGCAATCGATTCGTAACCGCAGTAGGGACTACAAGGACATTGTCTGGGCGTCGTGTGTCTCCCCAAACAGTCCGCAACAGGTTGAGGGCCTACCAATTGAAAGCGCGGCGTCCCTACACTGGACCCAATTTGTTACGACGTCACCGTAATAATCGGCGTAATTGGACACGTGTTCACCGTCGTTGGGCCTTACGACAATGGAACAATATTCTGTTTTCAGATGAGTCCAGATTTTGTCTGCAACACGGTGACGGAAGGCGCAGAGTGTGGAGGCGACGAGGGGAGCGTTTTGCGAACTGCTGCGTCGCAGAACGGGACCGCTTTGGCGGCGGAAGTGTAATGGTTTGGGGTGGTATTTGTGGGAGGACTGGTACCAGGCTTGTTGTGTTAAATGGCAATCTAACCGGCATTCGATATCGGGACGAAAATTTAAGACCAGTGGTTCTGTCATTCTTCAACAGGATAACGCACTAGCGCACACCAGTTGCGTCACCAGAACTTTCTTGCAGCAGAATAACGTACAGGTCTTAGATTGGCCCTAAATCACCTGATTTGTCACCGGTTGAGCATGTCTGGGACGTTCTTGGGCGACGCACGAGAGAACGTCAAAATCAGCCGTCAAACTTGCAGGAGCTGGCCCAAGCCTTGATCGCTGAATGGAACAACATCTCTCCTCGAATTATCCGCCGGTTACGAGTTCCATGCGACGACGCTGCAATGCTGTTTACTTCGCAAACGGTGGCCATACCCGTTACTAATGTTGTTACCTTTGAAATTGACCCCAACGTCCTTTACAGTCGAATAAAATCAACTAAACGCAAAGTTTTATAATGAACCATGACTGCAGTTTTATCAGAATTGATCAATTACTTTATTCGTAAATGATTGGTAAGGATTTATGAAGGGGTTAATTAATTAATCACAGAATAAAGTAGTGTTACCTTTCTTTTTTTGTTTAGTATATACAATATTACATGTCTAAAGAGCCTTTTTGAGACTGTTGAGATTTGTAAAATTCTAGGTTACCTGAAAGACGTTGGTCTATAAAACAGACTATGACGTACCATTTTAATCTTTTTAATATACTCATTCATTTATCTTTTACCTTTTGGTTTGTTTAATGTTATTTCTTTTTGGATCGCTGTGCGTTTTACTGGTTGATGGTACTAATGACCTCTTATGTGTTGACGGGCTGTTAAAAATGTAATGATAATTATAATAACAACATATATATATATATACGTATATGTGAAGTCAACAGAGTATTATGTTTGTTTAATTTAAATATTCAATAAGGTGGTGCATTTCGTGTCGTTAATATGAATATGTAACATCTGTTACCGTCAGTGATACATTATTTCTATGTTCGCTTAATTCAAATATGGTATCCAGAAATGAGTATGCCTGTTGTGTGTTTGTGAGAACTAGAACATAACGTCTATCCAAATAATCCATATCTTGATAGGTATGGATCTGACAATGAACTTTATTTTACTATCGGCAGATTTTGCATATCGATCTTAATCAAACCTTAATCAGCTCATTTGGGAAGTATATAAAAAACCCAATGATTATAATTTCCGATTATTGTGACCTTTCATGTCCAGTAAAGTAAAAAATTATCGAAAGGTATATTGATATTGTTGGGTTAAGAAATAAGAAAATTATTCTTGCGTGATATGGTAGCATGTGAATAAGTCGACATCCAAATTTACTGCTGACTATTGCTGGTAGACAATCTTTCTTCCTAATATGGTAGTTCAACTATGTAGCCTTATATTTAGGACATTATTTTTACTTTAATGCACTATACATGCATAATATCTCATTAATGTTCAGTTTTGAATCATCCGTTTTCGACACATTTGTTAACAATAATACGAAACGTGATATCGTTTATGAGTGTTTCCAAATGGCTTGTCTACCGAAGCGTGTCGACAAAAGTGCCTAGTAAAACATGATAATTTTTGGATATATAGGTAGTATCATGAGAGAACTGTTGCATTTCTGAAAAGAAAAATGTCTTAGCTAGCGTTATACGCTAGTAGGAAACGCATTCGATCATATTGTTAGTGCGACATATCAGGATTGGAGGTAGTATGTCCAGAATAGAGTTTACAGGGCTTGACAAAGGATTCCGATGTCCTGATGAGGAATCCAAAATTGAAGTAAGTTCAAGCGTAAACGTATTTATCCCATAAAGAACTTGTGAGACGAATTGACGTACCAAGCAATCAAATGTAGTGTTCCTCACGTTTTATACGTCAGGATGTGCTTAGTCTGGGGTCATTTGTAGAGTGGTATTTTTTTTTAAATACAGATACTCATCGACGGCTCGGGAGTTGGAAATGTTGATACAAACATTGATTCTCTCCACGCTTCACTGCTGAACGATGACCATTCATACATTGTTTAAACTGTCCTTCTGTTTCACAAACATATGAAACTACACAGAGCACACTCAATACCATAAACAACGGTGATAATTTTACAAATTAGGGGTTCAAAGCTGGAATTATAAACTTTAGACAGAGAACTATTGTAATTATTTTCAGTAATTAGGATATTAACAGTTTTTTGTTCCGTATTTTGAAATGTTGAAAAAATCATCTCATTGACTTAATATATTGTTAAGTTTGATTTTTCACCAATGTGATTGTGCTGTTGAGTCTGACTTTTTAAGTTCAAAGTAATGTAAGTGATTTATGTAAAATGAACAACATCCTTAAGGAAAATCTTAGAGGTACTATGTATTCCAATAATAGGTACTCTACCCTTAGGACATATTAAGGGAGTCCTTTTTGTATTGGGCGCCAACTCATCCAAAATTCTATTTGTTTCTTTTTCTCATCGATGGTTAAAAAACTACTTGAGTAGAAGTGTTCCCGGGGACAAAACTGTTAATTAGCAGCAACACTAGCCCCGTGAAAAAAATCATAAAGAAATTACTGCCATATCAACATAATCCAAACTCAAATTCAATAAAACTAGGACATTAAGAAAAAAAAAGAAGATTTACACGGACAATCCAGAGAAAAGTACAAGGAGAACAAGACCAGGTGTTCAGGAAGTATAAGCGTTTTCTGCTTCACTGACAACATCCGCCACGTACATATAGGCCAATCAAAGTAATACCACATTCTCAAATGAGAACAAGATGTACAAAAACAGAAGCAACAGGTAAACTAACGATCATCAAACACGTCCACTTTCGCACAAAGAATTAGAATATTTCTCAAAACTCTCCAATAATTTTCATGTGCCTGCATCTTCTGAAACTCTGTGTTAGTTGAGGACTCTTTGCACGAAAATCGTGATATTGGGAACAGGCTAGTGAATATCAAATCGCTTGCAACATGTCATAAATCATGAAAGTATCGCAAGTAGTGAAAAATATTTATATAAAATGATCCTACACAGATAATTTTCATTTCTGTGGAATATTATTTACAGCAGGAATTTATCAATTAAAAAGTCAATATAAATTTGCAGAAAAATGGAAGTAAGGATACATGAAACACATTTCACATAAAATTGCAGAATTTAATAGCATATGTCCAAATAATATCCTGCTGACGGGCATACAAGTTGTGGCTTTTTTAACAATACCTGCATGTTTTTTCCCGTCAGGTACCTGAAACGAGTTGGGTTATGTATACAGGCTCTACTGGAGGAAACGTACGACATTGATTGCGACTTAGAAGATCGGTTGTTTCTACTAAATCTTAATGCAGAGACCATTTTGGAGAGAAGCAACTTCAACGTTAGAACAGAATGTGTGTGACCTATGTTAATACATGTCATGCTTTGAATTCGTGATTATATTTGTTTAGTCAAGGATACTGACTATTCTAATGTACTTGTATATTACATGCCAGTAAGCAAAGAATGTTTGCATTTATTAAGGCAGGGAGACAGACTAATCTTAGATATATGATATTCCACTAAGCAAAGAAGTTAATTACCGATTCAAAGTTTACACTTCCAATATCGAACATAATAAATAGGTTTTATTTTGTGATCCTTGTATACCATAATGAGCATAACTGTTCAAGTGTTACCATGTTTAAATCAATTAACCTTGTTTTGTATTGTATTGTAGGTGGAACATTTAGAAGAGTGTGAAAGGAATCGAGAAAGAAACCTTATCTTTAATTTGCTACGATCATGCTTCAAGTGTTTAATCACATGCTGGAAAACAATTAAGAACTTTTATATTAAAAAACAATGTTTGTAATTGTATTCGGCGACAAGAGAGTTTTATCGTGTATTTTAAAGTTCTCTTTATGGTATGATCATATGCGCAGCGCGAAATAGCAAGCGGATATTCCTGACGGGAAAAAGAAAACATAAAGGAGACCAAACAACGATTGACTTGCTATTTTAAAATGAACAAAAATGTGCAATGAAAAAGAGCCAAATCTTTGAAACCTAGGAGGCGACTGAAAAGCCAAAATTGATGGGAAAGAATTGGCGAAATCTTACTGGACAGGTGAACTAAAGTCATAATAAAATAAACTGCATATTTTTTATATAATTGATAATTTCAAAAGAATGTCAAGTGCATGTCTATGGTCTGATCCATGACATCATCCTAATAAATTTGCAGTTGACGGGACATTTAACTGCATTGTTAGTTTGTCACTATTACTTTTGTTATTATTATAACTGTCTTAACGGCCAGTCAACACATAACAAGTCATTAGGGTCATCAACCGGTAAAAACACACAGCGATCCAAAAGGAAATAACATTAAACAAACCAAAAGCTAAAATACAAATGCTAAAAATCTTAAATGGGTATATTTACACATAAGATTAAAATGGTACGTCATAGTCTATTATATAGACCAACATCTATAAGTTAATCCAGCATTTTACAAATCTCAACAGTTCCAAAAAGGGTTTTTATATATGTTTTATTACGTTACAAACACGCTCGAGTAGACAGAAGGTCAATGCAGTCAACAAAAATGTTTAACGGTGAGTGGCTTATCACATTCTATGCACCAAGGATTATCCTAGCTATTACATGGTATTCCCATGTGCCCAGGAACACAAAAGTTAAAGGCAAGTCCATGATATAGTAATAAGAATGATTTCTATTGCTTCGACTTTGTAGAACAGAGAGTCCGAATGAATAACAACTCTCATTACTTTGTATGAATATATCTAAGGGCAAGGTAGATAGCCGAGAATATTGAAGCGTTGTTCGGTAGCCGGCATCAACGGTTTCGTCTTGTGTAACAATGGCCGAGGAAACCTTATCATTATCTTTTACACCATCAGTATATAAACGTAGAAATGTTTTATATTTTAACTGCAATTTCGAGAAGGATGAACGAAAGGTGTAACTGTCAGTGTCTGATTTAACCATTGCGTGAAGTGAAATGTCAACTTCAGGTGAATTCAAGAACCAGGATGGAATTTCTATCGTTCCAAAATATAAATATTTGTGTTTTGTAAAAGAACGGAAATATCTGGTGTACTGCAGCACTAAAGAGGGTGCTACATTTATCCATATATGGTGTACTGCAGTGCTGAAGCGAGCGATACATTCATCCATATCAGGTGTACTGTAGTGCTGAAGATAGTGTTACATAAATCCATATCTGGTGTGCTGCAATACTAAAGAGGGTGTTACATGGATCTTAATTTGGTGTAAAGCTACATTATCCCGTTTCTGGTGTTAACGAACACCTTTTAAGGTGGCAACCCAGTTGGTGTAATCTCACTTTAAATATTTTACAGTGTACAAGAGGGCTTTCACTCGACATATGTTTACTTTCATCCTCTTACACACTCCTTTCATTCCTAGTTAGAGTTATCTCCCTTGAGACCATAAAAAACTGTTAATCTCCAAATCTGATATAAACATAAAATTAAAAAAAACAAACACTCCCCCGTGTCGATGTCCAGTGGAAAAGGGGGGGGGGGGGGGGGGGAGGGCGGGCGGGGCCCTACCAAACTGGACAATGTCAAAACAAGAGTGTTGTTTACATATCAATTAAATAAATACTTGCATTATCATTTTTTCATCGTAGAATATTTTACTTTCCATTATATACATATTACAATTCTGCATTCACAAACATATTTCATGGCGATGACCATTCATACATTGTTTAAACTGTCCTTCTGTTTCACAAACATATGAAACTACACAGAGCACACTCAATACCATAAACAACGGTGATAATTTTACAAATTAGGGGTTCAAAGCTGGAATTATAAACTTTAGACAGAGAACTATTGTAATTATTTTCAGTAATTAGGATATTAACAGTTTTTTGTTCCGTATTTTGAAATGTTGAAAAAATCATCTCATTGACTTAATATATTGTTAAGTTTGATTTTTCACCAATGTGATTGTGCTGTTGAGTCTGACTTTTTAAGTTCAAAGTAATGTAAGTGATTTATGTAAAATGAACAACATCCTTAAGGAAAATCTTAGAGGTACTATGTATTCCAATAATAGGTACTCTACCCTTAGGACATATTAAGGGAGTCCTTTTTGTATTGGGCGCCAACTCATCCAAAATTCTATTTGTTTCTTTTTCTCATCGATGGTTAAAAAACTACTTGAGTAGAAGTGTTCCCGGGGACAAAACTGTTAATTAGCAGCAACACTAGCCCCGTGAAAAAAATCATAAAGAAATTACTGCCATATCAACATAATCCAAACTCAAATTCAATAAAACTAGGACATTAAGAAAAAAAAAAAGATTTACACGGACAATCCAGACCAGGTGTTCAGGAAGTATAAGCGTTTTCTGCTTCACTGACAACATCCGCCACGTACATATAGGCCAATCAAAGTAATACCACATTCTCAAATGAGAACAAGATGTACAAAAACAGAAGCAACAGGTAAACTAACGATCATCAAACACGTCCACTTTCGCACAAAGAATTAGAATATTTCTCAAAACTCTCCAATAATTTTCATGTGCCTGCATCTTCTGAAACTCTGTGTTAGTTGAGGACTCTTTGCACGAAAATCGTGATATTGGGAACAGGCTAGTGAATATCAAATCGCTTGCAACATGTCATAAATCATGAAAGTATCGCAAGTAGTGAAAAATATTTATATAAAATGATCCTACACAGATAATTTTCATTTCTGTGGAATATTATTTACAGCAGGAATTTATCAATTAAAAAGTCAATATAAATTTGCAGAAAAATGGAAGTAAGGATACATGAAACACATTTCACATAAAATTGCAGAATTTAATAGCATATGTCCAAATAATATCCTGCTGACGGGCATACAAGTTGTGGCTTTTTTAACAATACCTGCATGTTTTTTCCCGTCAGGTACCTGAAACGAGTTGGGTTATGTATACAGGCTCTACTGGAGGAAACGTACGACATTGATTGCGACTTAGAAGATCGGTTGTTTCTACTAAATCTTAATGCAGAGACCATTTTGGAGAGAAGCAACTTCAACGTTAGAACAGAATGTGTGTGACCTATGTTAATACATGTCATGCTTTGAATTCGTGATTATATTTGTTTAGTCAAGGATACTGACTATTCTAATGTACTTGTATATTACATGCCAGTAAGCAAAGAATGTTTGCATTTATTAAGGCAGGGAGACAGACTAATCTTAGATATATGATATTCCACTAAGCAAAGAAGTTAATTACCGATTCAAAGTTTACACTTCCAATATCGAACATAATAAATAGGTTTTATTTTGTGATCCTTGTATACCATAATGAGCATAACTGTTCAAGTGTTACCATGTTTAAATCAATTAACCTTGTTTTGTATTGTATTGTAGGTGGAACATTTAGAAGAGTGTGAAAGGAATCGAGAAAGAAACCTTATCTTTAATTTGCTACGATCATGCTTCAAGTGTTTAATCACATGCTGGAAAACAATTAAGAACTTTTATATTAAAAAACAATGTTTGTAATTGTATTCGGCGACAAGAGAGTTTTATCGTGTATTTTAAAGTTCTCTTTATGGTATGATCATATGCGCAGCGCGAAATAGCAAGCGGATATTCCTGACGGGAAAAAGAAAACATAAAGGAGACCAAACAACGATTGACTTGCTATTTTAAAATGAACAAAAATGTGCAATGAAAAAGAGCCAAATCTTTGAAACCTAGGAGGCGACTGAAAAGCCAAAATTGATGGGAAAGAATTGGCGAAATCTTACTGGACAGGTGAACTAAAGTCATAATAAAATAAACTGCATATTTTTTATATAATTGATAATTTCAAAAGAATGTCAAGTGCATGTCTATGGTCTGATCCATGACATCATCCTAATAAATTTGCAGTTGACGGGACATTTAACTGCATTGTTAGTTTGTCACTATTACTTTTGTTATTATTATAACTGTCTTAACGGCCAGTCAACACATAACAAGTCATTAGGGTCATCAACCGGTAAAAACACACAGCGATCCAAAAGGAAATAACATTAAACAAACCAAAAGCTAAAATACAAATGCTAAAAATCTTAAATGGGTATATTTACACATAAGATTAAAATGGTACGTCATAGTCTATTATATAGACCAACATCTATAAGTTAATCCAGCATTTTACAAATCTCAACAGTTCCAAAAAGGGTTTTTATATATGTTTTATTACGTTACAAACACGCTCGAGTAGACAGAAGGTCAATGCAGTCAACAAAAATGTTTAACGGTGAGTGGCTTATCACATTCTATGCACCAAGGATTATCCTAGCTATTACATGGTATTCCCATGTGCCCAGGAACACAAAAGTTAAAGGCAAGTCCATGATATAGTAATAAGAA